CCTGAAGCCATCCGCGGCACCGCCGTGTCTCACCAGCTCCAGCTCCTCATGGTGGTCGACCGCGTCACGCCACAGCGCCCTCACGACGCCCTGTTCAGGGCTCATTTCGATTCCTCCAATTCGACTCGATTCGATTTCGATGGCTTCCGATTCGATTCGACTTGGGATTCCGATTTGGGTTCCGATTTCTCATTGGAGTCCGATTTCCGCTGATTCGACTTTTCCCGACTCGGCTGCCGAACTCCGCCGATCCGATTCATCTCGATGGCCGATCCGGCTTCTCGATTCGATTCTGGGCGCTCCTCTTGCAGCGTGTGGTGCCCCGCTCGCCACGAGGTCCAGCTCCCTGCCCAGGTCGTCCTTGACTATCCTGACCGTCTCCATGTGCCATCCGGCGCTGACATGCGACCAGGACCGCGCAGGTTGGCCCCGCTCCGGCCAGGCCCTTGGACCCTTTGGTCAGGTGCACCTCCCTTTGCGCCCATGAGCGCGCTCAAGAGAGCCCTGCGGCCATTTCGCTCCACGGCCAGCTGTACCCTTTTGGCCCACGACTCCAGAAGCCCGAAGGCGTGCTGGAGCAGCAGGTCGTCACGCACCGTGGCTAATACCAGGAAGTTGAGCGCCACGCTGGGTCCTGGCGCCCTGCCGAAGATCGTGGAAGCTACCTGGCTCCTCCCCCGCTGCAGCCCACGCCATGGCCTCGCGGCCGGAACCCGTTGCAGGCAGCGACCCACTCTGCACAAATTTCTGCGCGCTGGGTATGTGCGCTCCTGTTGCCTGGCCGATGCGGGGGGGTCCACCGATTTGACCTGCCTTTTCTCTGCAACCGCTGACGCCACCGCCTTGGCGCCGTAGTTCACCCCTTGGTTGCGCGCCTTGTCTGACTGCATGAGCTGTCCCAGGTTGATGATCTTGACCAGGTCTTCCCGCAACCTGTCCGAGGACGCCAGGACCTCCGACTTGACCCGTGAAACGATGCAACCCATGTCGCTCTCCAGGCCCAAGATGAAGCCTCCGGCGGCGCCCGCCACATAATGCGCCGCCTCCCAGAAGTTACCCGCCATGCGAAGTGAGCAGTCGTCAAACATGATGGCCACGCTCACCTCCTGCCAGCAGCGCCTGTGTTACGCCTCAAGCACCATCGTATCGCATCTGGGGGTCCGACCCGCGTGGCTGCACCCAGCGACGAGCCCACTCGCAAGCCGTTTGGCTTTCGAGCTGACGGCCCCATCGATCATGATGTACCTGTGTCCACCGTGCATGCACAGGGCAGCCTGGATCAGCTGCTCGGGGTAGCCCATGTCCAGCGCCCTCTGCTGCGCTATGGCGAGTGCTTCCACGTAAGCCTTCCAAAGGTCGAGGAGCACGTCGAGGCGCTGCGATCTGCTCGCCTAGTTGTGCAGTGCCTGCCACCACACCGCTTCAGCGGCGGCTCGCCCCTGACCCCCCCCAGAAGTTGGCGGCGTCACCTCCCCGCTTCGGTTCTCCGCATGCGCGCCCACCATCTGGGGAACCTTTGCAAGAGGCCGATGAGCCTCCAGCCTCCGCTCTCCTTTGCCAGCATGACGATCATGCAGCAGATGGTTTCCTCGGGCAGCGTGCCCACCACCTTCGTCGGCATGCCGAACGCGATGAGCATTTCCATCAGGTCGTCTGATATGTGCTCCAGCTGCCTCGAGTTGAAATGGTCCGCGCCCCGCCCACTGAGGAGCCAAACGCCTTGGCCGCCTTCCTTGCCTCCTTGACCGTGGGCCTCCTCAAGGGACGCCCCATCGGCGGCCGCGCTCTGGCCGTCCCAGGGGCTCTGCCCCAATTTGGGCCCCGGCCTTCGGAATCCATCCCCGTCTTCTGCGTCCAGACCTCGCCCGCCCAGCACGCCGCCACTGCGTCCACCCCCTTCTGGCCTCCGCTAGGGCTCCCTTGGGCCCCCAGCTTCTCGGGCACCCAGCCTCTGGGCCCGTGCCTGACGGAGTGGGCCTGCTTGCCTCCGACCGCCAGCGAGGATCGAATCCACTCGCAGAGGTCCCGGCGGCGCTTGTAGGCGAACCTGGAGTTGAGGGCCTCCGCCTCCTCGCGGGCCTCCGAGATCCACACGGTGATGATGTTTTGCGGCACCTCCTGCACCATGTCCAACTTCGCTCTCCATTGGACCAGAACCGGGTCGAGCGCCGCTCCTGGCCACCCGCTAGTAGTCCCTCCGACTGTTTGGGCGAGGTACAGTGAACCTGGCACCCGCCGCGCACCTGCCCTCGGCGCCCACTTGCCTGGAGCCAGGGTCAGCTGGCTCCGCCATGCCCTGGAGGCACGGACCAAGACGCCCGTGCCCCCTCGAGGCCCCTCGCTGGAGCCCTCGCGAGCCGTGCCTGCCGCCAGCGCCGCTGCGATGCCGTGCTGCCTACACCACTGCTCCTCCGCCTTCGGCCTCTTCCCGGACAGCTGCGTCTTCTGCACGCACAAGCAGCTCGCCGTCTGCGTTGTCTTGCTAGGCTCCGCCGCCCACAGCGCCGCGAGCGGTCCCCCGCCCGAGCCGTTCGCGCTCACGACCCCAAAGCTGGAGTGCGTCTGGGACCTTCTCTTGCCCATGTTGACGCGTTTCGCTATTGTCCAGCCTGCCCCAGGGGCACCTCCCTGCGCCTCTGCGGGTGGGGTGGGAGGTGCGGCGACCTTCCTCCGCTTGTAGCCTGCGGTCTCGAGCTCCTCGCGCCTCTGCTTCCTAGCCTCGCGAAGCTGGTCTGGATCGGACACGGCTCCTGCACAAAGGTCGAATAGCCCCCAGTATCATCATCCAGATCCAGGTCCATACGCCTGTAGGGATGTCGGTTGCCTCCCCTTGTGCACCACCGACGGCTCTTGCTGCCTCCTCTGCTGCTTGGGCGGCTCCTGCACGCGTTGCCGCCTGCTTAGCTGCTGCTGCGTCTGCTGCTGCCGTGGCTGCTTCCGCTGCCGCGACTTCACCTGCGTGGTGACGCAGGCGCCGCTATCGCCGATCCTGCCCTTGACCGCCTCCAGCGCCTGGGCCAACTGCGTGCCTGGCGTCGCTGGCGCTGGGGTCCCCAGAGCCCCCTCCTTCTGTATGATCTGGCGATGAGGTCCGCGTGCTCTTTGACAGTCGCCCGCTGCCTCTGCAGCACGACCATTTCCTCGTCCAGGTCCAGCTTGGCCTTGCTTGACTCCCCTCCACCCGGCGACGACGACGACGACGACGACGACGACGACGACGACGACGACGACGACGACTACGACGACGACGACTGGCGAGGTTGTGGAACTTGGGATCCCAACTATTTATCGGCTTGCCATGCAGTCCGAAGTGTTTCTTTCGGGGTCCAGGATGAGGCCATCCCTGCCAGCGTCCTGCTCGGAGGCAGGGGGCGTGCCAGGCTCCGACTTGCTCCTGGGACTCTCGGGCAAGGTTGGTCCTTCACTCCGCTTGCTGTGCCACTCCGGCCGGACGAAAGGGGGGAATTGGGAAAGAGGGGGTTACGAAATTTGCTGCATGCAGCTGGTTTCGGCCCCTCCGAGGGGCCCATTCCTCGATACACAGTCGCCTCCAGCGCCGGGAGGCGCCGAGAAAATCGTCTACGCGAGCTGATTCTCAAACCCCCCTTTGCTATCCCTCCCTTTCGCCCGACCCGTGCCACCGCGCCGCCCTCTTCCTCGACCTGCTCGAGCCGCACAAGGCGATGTCTGGCGTGCGCTTCTATTCACGACGCGAAGCGCGGCACGCCCAGGTCGATGCTGCTGTGCCCGACTTGGTTTAAGCCGGGCCTGTCCATCTACAGGAGGAATACCCAAGAATAGTGAAAAAATGGTCTGGGGACGAGTTGTTTGGCTATGTTGGTGTATGTCCTGAGTATTTTTATTTTTTCGCCCAAAATCCCTCTGTAGGGGGACACGCCCGAGCTAAGACTTGGCGCACAATCCACACGTCCACCCTGGGCACGATCACGTCTGCCTGCCATGAAAAGGCCCGCGCGGACGACGGGTTTTCACAAGCCTGCCCACGCAGTGCCCGAGTTTCGTGCACTACTCTCCCAGCTCGGGCCAGGAACAGCCATGGTGGTGACGATGAGGATGACGGTGACGATGATGATGATGATGATGATGATGATGATGATGATGATGAGGAGGAGGAGGAGGAGGAGGAGGAGGAGGATGAAGATGGTGGTGATGCTGATGCTGATGTTGATGCTGATGTTGATGCTGATGATGATGCTGATGATGATGCTGATGCTGATGCTGACGATGGGGATGGGGATGGGGATTGGGATGGTGGTGATGGTGATGATGGTGACGGTGGTGTTGATGATGCTGTTGATGATGTTGTTGATGGTGACGATGATGCTGGTGATGGTTGTATTGGTGATGCTGAAGCTGATGCTAGCGATGGTGGCCTAAAGATGGTGATGATGACGATGGCGATGCTGATGCTGATGATGGTGCTGAGTATGACGAAGATGCTGGTGATGCTGATGGTGCTGCTGATGATGATGAAGATGTTGATGATGGTGATAATGATGATGATGATGCTGATGATGATGATGATGATGATGCTGATGCTGATGCTGATGCTGCTGATGATGATGATGACGATGACGAGGATGGTGATGCTGATCATGATGATGAGGATGGTAAGGATGGTCATAGTGATGATGCTGCTGCTGATGCTGATGATGACGGTGGTGATAGGGGGTGATGATGATCATGCTGCTGATGATGATGGCGATGATGATCCTGCTGTTGATGATGATGATGATTATGATGATGATGATGATGATGATGATGATGATGATGATGATGATGGTGATGATGATCACGATCATGATCATGATTATGATGATCATGATGATGCTGATGATGATGGTAATGAAGATGACGATGGTGATGATGATGATGATGATGATGATGATGATGAGGAGGAGGAGGAGGAGGAGGAGGAGGAGGAGGAGGAGGCCAGGCCTCTTTTGTGGCGTCCCCGCTGGGGTCCCTGGCGCAGCGAGGCGGAGCAGAACAGGGATGCCGCGGGCAACTGCCTCAGGTTCACGGACCCCTCCAAGTCTAAGTGGAACAAGACGACCATGGGCATGTGGCACATCAAGGAATCGAGGGGGGAGGGGCGAGGAGAACGAGGAGGAGAAAGAGCAGCAGCAGCAGGAGGGAGGAGCAGGAGGGAGGATGGAGGAATAGGAAGAGGAGGAGGAGGAGGAGGAGGAGGAGGAGGAGGAGGAGGGTGTTGCTCCTCGCTCTCCGCCTCGCACTCTCGGCGGATTGCGGCACTTGGCCATCATGGGCCATGCCGCTCAGGCCGCTTCTCTCCTCACCTCTTCTGGTGCGGATGTGATGCGGAGGCACCATTTTATCTCACGGGGACCACGGCGCCCTATCCTCTGAGGCGCGAGCTTGCGGCCCGGCAGCCTGTCTGCCCGGGGCCGCCTGCCCCCCACGGCACGGCAGCCTGTCTGCCAGGGCCGCCTGTGCCCACGGGGGAGGTCACGCGCCAACCAGCAATGCTGGCGGGCGCGCGTCGGCCTCCCGTGCCCAGTTGTGGGGCCGAGAGACACGCCACTGCAGGCCCCACCCACAAAAGGTGCGGGCGGGTGGGACCCTTAAAATGAGCGCTGGCCTCGCTGGAGGCCCTGAGCAAAGAGTGCGGGAAGGCAAGGAGAGGCTACGCGCGCGAGCCAAACACTCTGTTATAACTAACGTCCACGTGTTGGTTCTCTCTCTCTTTCCGCTTCGCACTCTCGGCGGATCGCGGCACTTGGCCCTCATGGCCATGCCGTTCAGGCCGCCTCTCTCCTCACCTCCTCCTCTGATGCGGATGTGATGCGGAGCACCATTTTATCTCACGAGGACCACGGGCCAGTTCCTGGACGGCTCGCACGCTGGTGACATCAACCCCTCGCAGACCCTTACCGCTCCCGTAGCCGTGTTGGTCCCCGGACCCGTACTCGTTAGCCTCCAGCAGGAAGAAGTATCCCATTACCACCGCCGCCCAAAGAGCCACGCCCACGGAAGCCTCCCTGGCTGCAGCGTCTTCCGAATCCTCCGCATCATCCTGCGGGGGACCAGCTTCTTCCGCTTGGCGTCACTATCTCGCCTCCTGAGGCCATCGATCGCCATCCAGAGCCTTCCTGCCCCCGCTGTCAGGTCGCCCATGCCGGGGGCCAGGCGCTGGGCGCGAACCGCGTTCAGGCACTGCTTGATGGGGCCCGCCTTCCTGCACCCGCGCCTGGACAGGTGAACGACAAACTCCAGCAGCAGCTCCTCCACCTCCCTCCGATTCGCGAGCGTGCCCTCCCGTAGCGGGCTGATGGCACGCGCGCGGCAGAAGAGAGACCACCACCTCCAGCCTGGGCTGTACGACTTGATGGTGTTTAGTTCGCCAGCTTGTCCAGCTTGGCTTTCCCCAAGTCCTCGCGCGTCTTGAGGTCCGTGGGGATCAGGTCACGGGGCGTGGCCTTGTCCTGGACAGCTTCTGGCCCGAGCAGGTTCGGCGGCTGGTGTTGCGCCGGGCCCGCGCTCTTGCCCCTGCGTTTCTCCTTCTTCTTCTTCTTATTATTGTTATTATCATTATTATCATTATTGTTATTATTATTAATCGTATTATTATTATTATTATCATTGTTGTTATTATTATTATTATTATTGTTGTTATTATTTGTATTATTATTATTTTCATTATTAATATTATTATTAATGTTATGATTACTATTATTAACATTATTAGTATTATTAGTATTATTATTCGTATCATTATTATTATTATTATCATCATTATTTGTCTTGTTCGTCTTCTTCTGGGAGGTGGTTCCTGCCTTACGCTCGTCCGCCTCGTGCGGCATCTGGGCCGCCAGGGCCGCCAGGGCCCATTCGAGTCACCATCCCCTCTGATCAGGGTAGCCCCAGGTCCTAACCAGCTTGCCCAGCTGCTCTCACGCCTCCTCCTGCCTCAAGCACCCGCTCCTCCGGCTGTCAGCTGCCCCGCGGCCGCCATGCCCGCCGTCGTTCGCCTCCCAGTCGATCTTCTGGGCGCGCAGCCTCTGGTGCGCACGGATGCCCCTTGCTCCTGCACCGGCGCCGCCTGAGCCCCTGGCGTCGCTGAGGTAGCGCGCCACAGCCCCCGGGCCGATGCTGCCACCGCCCTCCGGGCCCTGCCCGCTCTGGTCATCGTCTCCTCCCAGGGCGGGCCCGCGCCTCAGCGAGGCGGGCTGCGAGGCCCTCCTTTGCCTGGCCTCCCGCCTCCTGGGCCCCTCGGCCGCGTGCGCTCCCCTCTCGATCCTGATGGCCCTAGCGCGCAGGGCGCAGGGCTGTCATTCTCGCTTCCTCCTCCTTCGGGCTGCGCATCACCCGCACGTCCCCCGTGAACCTGGGCTCTGCTCCGGGGCCGCGCGGCTCTGTCGGAGGCCTCCCTCTCCCTTCGCGCGGGTGGGCCGCGCCGCCCTCTCTCGCATCCCTGGGCGGGTGGGCCTGGTCTCGCGGGGCTCCGCGGGGCCCCACATCTCTCCGCTCATTTCGCATGGGGAGAGGCGCGCGCCCAGCTGGCATCGGGAGGGGCTCGTGCTCGCGTCGGGGGCGCGGCGGTGCCGGGCGGACGGTCCGCTCTGCGGCGGGAGCTCGTCCGCCCTCCTCCGGGGATCGGGGGCGCGATACCCTGAGCTTCGACTCCCGCTGACGGGTGGGGGGCCTGCGCCGCTGCTGCGGCACTGCTGCTGGCCGCCTGGCGCTCTGCGATCCTGCTCGCCAGGTCGCGGCACTTGCGCTCCAGTGCCGCACGCTCTCGCCATCCCTGCCCGTCCCCCCCTGACTCGGGCTCCTCCTTGACGACCGACGCCAGCCTCCTCGCCCTCCGCCCTCAGCCTGCCACGGGGCTCCGCCGAGGCCAGGCGGGCCGCGTCCTTGCGCGCCCGCCCCTCGGTCGCCGTCGCCTCTGCCCGCGCCCCCCCCGCCTCCTCGCGCTCCCTGCGGGCGCGCGTCTCGGGCGAGGGCGGCGGGCGCGCCTCGCCGGCGCCGCTGCTGCCCGGCTCTGTCGCCCCGGCCGCTGCGCGCGCCGGGGGGCCCGCGACAAGGTCGGCGTCGCTGGAAGACGGCTCCTGGCCCGGCCGTGGGGCCGCCGCCATCGCCGCGATCTCTGCGGCGGCCTCCCGTGGAAGTGCCCCCTTCTTCTTAGTGTCCTTCTTATTGCTATTACTAGTATTATTATTCCTTTGACTTTTTTTATTTATTATTATGATTATTATTATCAGTAGTAGTATTATTATTATGCATATTCTTCTTCTTATTATTATTATTCTTCTTATTATTATTAGTATTAGTATTATTATTATGATTCTTATTATTATTCTTCTCATTATTATTCTTCTTATTATTATTTTTCTTCTTCTTCTTCTTTTTCTTATTCTTCTTCCCCCCCCGCCTGCGCCCCCGCTGCCCGACTGGAGTTGGGGGGCCCGCATCCTGCCCCTGCGCCACCTTCTCGCAGTGGAAGTAGCGATTGATCCCTCCATCCGCCGAGTCCTCGCCTGCATGTGTGCCCGCGCACTCGTTGCCACAGCGGCCCGGCTTCTCCGTCGAGGCTGGAGCGCCACGCTCCAGGGCGCGGGCAGCCGGGCCGAAGGCGCGGCTGGAGCTCGCGCCTCCGCGGCTCCCGGGCGGGACTCTGCTCTCAGCCCGCGGGGGCCGCCCCGCCGGCAGGTGCTGCCGCCGCGTGCACAGCGCCAACCAGCGCCAACCTGCGGTTCCTGGGCCGCCGCCTCTCTGGCCCCCGCTGCCCTCGGGGGCGTCGCGGGCGCCCGGGGCCCCGCGGCTGCCCGGGCCCCCCGGTTGCCGTCGCTCTCCGTGGCTCCCGCGCGCCACCCCCCGCCCCCAGCCTCTTCCATCCCCCTCCTCCTCCTCCTCCTCCTCCTCCTCCTCCTCCTCCTTCTCCTCCTCCTCCCCCTCCTCCTCCTCCCGCTCCTCACACGTAGGGCCATGTTCCCTGTCGCCCGTGCACCAGCAGGTTCGGCAGCAATCTAAGACGGGGAACTCCAGCACTGGACGACGTCGGTTGCAGCCCACCACGTTGCAGGGCGGGTCGCCCTCGTAGCCCCGCCTTCGGCGACTCCCCTGGCCGCCTGACGCCTCATCGCTGGGCGGGGCCTCGTCCTGCACGCCACGCCGTAGGGGTCCTGCCCAGGGGCACCCTGAAAGTCCCCGGGCCCTTCATCAGCCCCCCCCCCCCCATGAAGGTCTGCGCGCTCGTGGAGCCCAGGCCATCCCCCCTGACGCCCCCCGTGACCACGAGGTACCTGCGCGGGGAAAAGGGCGGCGGCCTCGGCTGCGCCAGCGGCGCCCCCACTGGCGGGGGCGGCGGGCCCCCTGCGTCGGCCTCGGCGGGCGCCGCCGTGGCCGGGGGGCCCTCCTGCTGCCGTGGGCTGGGTCTGCCCGCCTGCTCCTCGAGCGGGTCCTGCCGATGACGCCGCGCCTGCAGATGGGGGCTCATCCTCCTCGCCGTCCTCGGGCCACAGGGGGCGCTGCTCGTTCTCCTGCTGCCGCGCCTCGCAGCACGGGCTGTGCCACTCCCCGTTGGTGTTGCGGCATGTGAGGCGCGCCCGTTGGCTCGCCAGGGGGTGGCGCGGGCGGGCTAGCTCCCTGCGTCTCCTCCCCTCCGATGGCAGCGCCCTCCGACTGCGCCGGGCTCGCCCTGGTGGCCGCGCTTGGGGGGTGGCTGCACGGGCGCCGCTGCTGGGCTGGCGCCCGCGCAGTCGTAGCCCTGGCAGTAGCACTCGTACTCGCCAGTTGGCTGGGGGGCGCTCGCCCAGGTCGGCCCTGGCTGTGGGCGGATCCGTGGCCGGGGGCCCCAGGAGAGCGAGGGTCGCTGCCGCCGAGAGTGGCCCAGGCTCTGCCGCAGACTCCTCGATGGCTAGCGGCGTCGCGCCGCTCTCGTCGGAGCAACTGGGCTGGCCGTCCTGAACTGTGCTGCCCCTCGTGCTCCTCCTTGTCGCTCGAGTCGCTCTCGCCCGGGCCTGCCCGAGCGTGGCCGTCCTCAGGCCCCACGACCGTGGCTGTTGCGGTGAAGCTGGCGTACAGTCCTACAGAGACGCGTCCAGCCAAGTCAACACCGCGAAGATGGCCGTCGCCACGCGGCACTCGAGCGTGTGGACTGGCCGCATCTGGCGGCTGCAGCGGGCCGCGCGCCCCCTCCGGTCGCCGCCCGCACCGGTGTGGGTCCTGGCCCTGCCACCACTGAGCATTCCTCGGAACGCCTGGCCCGAGCCGCAGGCTGGGCAGGCGAGCTATGGCCTCACCCGCCCACTCCAAAAAGAAGCGCCGGCCTCGCTAGAGGCCTTGAGCAAAGAGTGCGGAAAGGCGAGGACAGGCTACGCGTGCGAGCAAAACCTTCTGTTATAACTAACGTCCAACAGAGGAGGAGGAGGAGGAGGAGGAGGAGGAGGAGATGGAGGAGGAAGAGGAGGAGGAGGAGGAGGAGGGTTTCCTCCTCCCTGATCCCTTCGCTTATGACCATTATCTTGCCCCTCCTCCCGAGTCGAGTGGGAGCAGCAGGAGGAGGGCGAGACGGAGCAGGAGGAGGAGGAGGAGGAGGAGGAGGAGAAGGAGGAGGAGAAGGGGGAGGAGGCAAGGCGGGAGAAGGATTGGGGCGTGGAGAAGAATAGGAGAAGGATAGGCAGGGGGTGGAAAAAGGAGGAGGAGGACGAGGAGCAGGAGGAGAAGGAGGAGGAGGAGGAGGGAAGGGGATGAGGAAGGGGGCAGGGTGGAGTGGAAGGAACAGGGTAAGGAGTTATGAAGCGAGAGAGGGGAGAGGGGCATGAAGCAGAAAGGCGAGGAGAAGGATGGAGGAGGCTGAGGAGGACAAGGGTAAAGAGGAGGAGGAGGAGGAGGAGGAGGCTAGAGGAAGGCAAATGAGGGGGGGGGTGGCTTGGGCAAGCATCGGGAGGGGTCGCAGGCGCAGCTCCTTTAGCGGCACCTCCCACTCAGCGATGGTTTGGGGGCAGAGGAGAGGAGGAAGATGAAGAGAAGGAGCAGGGCGAGGAGTCACACTTCGTGCAGCAGCCTCCAGAGCCGCTGCCGAAGCCCGGGTCGAAGCCGAAGGTGGCGTACCTGATGTTCGTGAAGGACTCCTGGCAGGCAAGGCGTCGGCGAGGAGAGGAGAAGAGAGGAGGGGATGAGGTGGATGGAGGAGGAGGAGGAGGAGGAGGAGGAGGAGGAGGAGGAGGAGGAGGAGGAAGGATGGAGGAGGAAGGATGGAGGATCACGGATCCAGGATCGAAGAGGAGAGCCCAGTCGAGACGCTTACACGAGCGCCATCTGGGGATCACGGGGGGCTTTGGTTTTTGGGCCGCTCCTCAGACCTAGGCCAGTGAGCCCATTTGGGGCCGAGGCTCGCCGCTGCCAGGAAGCTGTATACACATGACGCGTCCTTCTCGGGCGAGAGCTGGGTGGACGTGTGGCCTGATGCCTTTCCAGCGCTCGCTCGGCCCTTGCATGGCCGCGCAGCCTGGGCCTCTTTGACAATGTACCGCGTGGCCTTCGGATGGTCCACATGTGAATACAGCCCGGCTCGTCTGTATCTTCTGGTTAGGGGGAGAAGGCAGTAAACCAGCCCTCCCTCCAAGTTCCATCTTCCATGGCTCCCTACAAGACATTCGCTTCATTGCGGGAAGTGGCCTCTTTGAAGACAACCGCTTGAGAATCCTCCATCTTGCCAACACACAATTCCTCTGACTTCAACGCCGCGGATCAATGTGATTGTTGCGCTCTGACAAACCTAAGCCGTCCCAGCACACTATTTCTCGGGACTTCAATACCGCGCATCAGCGCGACTGCTGCGTCCTATCATTCCATCGATTACAACCATACGAATATTCGAAATACTTGAACACGCTTAAGAGGTTAATGTGCGCGGCGCTACGGCGAGAGCCACGTTCTACAAAGGAACCGCCCTCCATCCGTGACTTTGCTGCAAATGTTTAAGACTAATGCGCGCGACGTTAAGGCGAGAGCCACATTTTGAAAAGCACACGCCCCCCACCCCGTAAATTGCTGCAACCTTTGAGACGAATGCGCGCGGCGCATAGGCGAGAGCCACATTTGAAAACCTGCGCTCCATCCTTGAAACTCTTACACACGTGTAAGACAAATGGCGAGAACAAATTTTGAACACGGAAGGAAAATGGCATGGAGGAGGAGGAGAAGGAGAAGGAGCAGCAGCAGCAGCAGCAGCAGGAGTAGGAGCAGGGGGATCGCGAGGAGGAAGGGCAGAAGGAGAAGGAAGAGGAGGAGCAGGAGGAGGAGGAGGATGAGGAGGAGGAGAAGGAGGAGGATCGAGAGCACGACAGGCGGGGAGGACGAGGAGGATCGGGGATCGAAGAAAGAAGGGGAGGAGGAGGAGGAGGAGGAGGAGGAGGGAGGAGGAGGAGGAGGAGGAGGAGGAGGGGAAGAGGATCCATACGAAGACGGCAGGGGATGAGGAGGAGGAGATGGAGAGGAGAGGGGAGGGAAGGGGAGATGAGGGGAGGGAGGGGAGGTTAGGGAGGAGCAGGAGGAGGAGGAGGAGGAGGAGGAGGAGGAGGGAGGAAAGGGAAGAGGATCCGTACGAAGACGGCGGAGGATGAGGAGGAGGAGGAGGAGGAGAAGAGGAGAGAGAGAGAGAGAGAGGGGACGGGAGGGGAGGGGAGATGAGAGGAGGGGAGGGGAGGTTAGGGGAGGAGGAGGAGGAGGAGGAGGAGGAGGAGGAGGAGGAGGAACACAGAGGAGGAGGACGAGGAGGAGGACGAGGAGGAGGAGGACGAGGAGAGGAGGAGGAGGAGGAGGGAGGAGGAGGAGGAGGAGGAGCAGCAGGAGGAGGAGTAGGAGGAGGAGGAAGAGGAGGGGGAGGAGGGGGAGGAGGAGGAGGAGGAGGAGGAGGAGGAGGAGGAGGAGAAGGAGGAGGAGGAGGAGGAGGATGAGAAGGAGGAGGAGGAGGAGGAGAAGGAGGAGGAGGATGAGAAGGAGGAGGAGGAGCAGGAGGAGGAGGAGGAGGAGACGGAGAAGTAGAAGCAGGAGGATCGCCTTCGTGCAGCAGGCTTCAGAGCCGCTGTGGAAATCCGGGCGCGGGAGGATGGGAGGAAAGTGGAGGGGGTTGACGGGCCTAGAATCGAGATACACCCTTTCCAAAGCGTTCTGGGCCGCCCTCAGAGCGTTCCAGGGAGCTCTGAAATGCCTCGATTCATCTTCCAAACCTGCCGATTCTCAGAGATTTCCGATTTATACCAGTCCGATGTTATCTCGATTCTGCATTCGTCTTCAGGGGTGGACAAAGGGGTGCTCCTCAGGACAGGGTTGAGAACCCGAAGCTCTGGCTCCGGTGGATGCGAGATGCGCGACAGAGCGGCCTGGACTTCAGCCTCATCATCCACGCCTACGGAATCAACAGGCTCCGTTGGCGGCGCGCAGGTGGGGGCAGGGGGAGGGGGGGGGGGGTTCTTGGAAGCACCCCTGCTTGTCAGAAGGCGCGGGCCTTATCTAAAGATGACAGTGTGGCGCCTTCTAAGAAGCAGCCTCCCTCCAAGAGGCCGTTCCCCCCCTCTCCCCCCCCCTCTGCGCGCCGCCAATCCGGTGCGGCCGCGGGGCCAGGGGGCGGTTGGGGATCGTCCCTCCGCCTCCTCCCAGCGCTGCCGACTTGTCCCGTGCTGCCGGCGGAGCTCTCGAGACCCTCCCCCCTGGCGAGGGGAGAAGCGAGGAGAAACGAAGAAGCGGTAAGGAGACTCCTCCCTCTCCTCTGCCTCCTCGTCCTCCTCCTCTTTCTCTTCCTCTTTCTCTCGCTTCGAGCCCCCCATCCTCTGCCCCCCCCCCTGTGCCATGGGGTCGGGAGGCTGTCTGACTGCAGTTCCGCAGGCCGTATGGGCGCTACGTTCCCAGCGAGTTCCCGCAGAAGGAGCGCCTCTCATCTCCCCTCCCTCGGCGGCGCGCCCAGGGGGGAAGACAGCAGAGCGGGCCTTTTCAGACGGCTCAGAATCTCAGGCAATCGCAAACATGGATCGAGGGGGCGTGGATTAGCCACGGGCCCCGCTTCCACCGGAAATCGCGGACTTCCGCCGCCGAACGAGGCGGCCTTGGCCGCT